GCCTATGGCGCAACCAGTAGGAGTAGGTTCTGTTCTCGGCGGCCGAAGAGGCAGCCTATGGCGCAACCAGTAGGAGTCGGTGTTGTTCTCGGCGGCCGAGGGCGCAGCCCATGGCGCAACCAATCGGAGTCGGTGTTGTTCTCGGCGGCCGAGAGCGCATCCTTTGCCGTCTTCCGACGACCTGCGAGAAGAGTTATGGGCGTCATGCGACGGACCACGCAGGCAAACATCCACGACATGCCGCACCTGCCATCGACATGCAACGGCACCTGCTGTCGGTGTCCTTTTGGCAGCACCGTCGACACATCCACCATGGAAAATCGACGCGCCGTATGGTTTGTACAGTCTTGGTCGAACCCAGACGTGCGGAACACGTGGCCACGCTACCTCTGAGAATGCCCAAGGTTTCTCCCAGCATCTACCCAATCCCACGAATTACTTCGCCACGGACGGCCCCGCGCGCCAGCCGCTTGAACTTCTCGCGGCGGTCTACCATACGCCTGCTTCGCGCAAACACGCGCACGGGAGAGCCAGGACGCCCAACCGCTTTCGAGCGACGCTCGGATTCGCCCCCGCAACGCATGCCAAAAGGGCAATCTCACACGCCGGGCAAAACCTGAAAGGGCTTTCGTCTGCCCTATCCTCCCCTCACTCTCCTCCCCTTCCTTCCCTCATCGACGTAGGGCCCCCCGGCCCCCTATGACGCCCTCCGCTGGCCTGGGTGGTCCACTCAGGCCGCGGGGGGGGGGACACGGGGGGTTAGGGCATTGTTTTCCGAAAAAAATTGTACCTCGTCGCCAGTCGGGGAGGGGGGGTGCACCCTTCCCTGGGATGGGCTCACGTCCCCTCCAGGAGCTCTCGACCCCAACCCGCGCCCTTCTCCGTCCTTTCCCCCCCCCCCTCGCATCCCTCGCATTTCAATGCCTTTGTCATGTCCGCCGAAAGCATCTCTGGCAAGGTCCGTGACCTGGCTCGCCTTTGAACTGAACCGCAAGCGGGTCAGCGAGGGCGAGGGGGGCCGAGGTGCCAGGAGAAGGAGGATGAGCAGGAGGAGGAGGAGAACCGACGACGAGGTCCTAGACGAGGACGACGAGGAGGAGTTGGAGCACGAGGAGGACGAGGAAGGCGAGGAAGATGAGGAAGACGAGGAGGAAGAGGACGACGACGATCTGGATGGGGAGGACGACGTTGATGAATACGAGTAGTTCGAGGACGAGGTGTGGGCATTCGAATGCGAGCGGGGCTACGCCCGATTTGTGCTCGCCGTTTAGGCTGGCACACCGCACCCAAGCGGCGAGCCGTCTTGTGACTTGTGCATCCCAGGGGCCTCTTTGGAGTCGCCATCGGGCCCCCTTGGGCCATCTGGGGAGCCCGCTGAGCCGTCGAGTGGCCATCTTGGGCGCGTCTTGGGCCCACCGTGGCCGTCTTGGGTGCTTGTCGGGCCCTCCTAAGGCATCCTGGGGCCCTCCCGGGCCGTCCTGGGGCATCTCGGGCCGTCTGGGGCCCTCCCGGGGCGCTCCGGACCCAGCCTGGCCGGCCAGGCCCGAAGTTGTGGCGGATCACGTTTCTATGGGTAAGGGTACCCATGTACTGGCGCAGCTAAAACTATTTTTTGGGGTAGCGTCACAGACTTCGCAACACTGGGATGAGGAAACCTGTGGCATTTGTTTCCCATTGGATTTGGTTGGTTGTCCAATGACAGGCAAAAGCTTCCTCACCTTAGAGCCACGAGACCTGTGACACGACCCCAAAAACCAACTCCTTTGTATATAAAATGTTTTCGGGATCCCAACCGGGAGGGGGCTCCCGTCGGCCCTGGCCCTCCCCGGCTTGGGATACCGAAGCCCGTTATTGAGAATGGTTGCCTTTTGGTAATATCTCACGGTTTATGTTTGTTGTTCTGAAGTTGATCGTGTCATAGGCTCCCTGAGATGAAGAAGCCGATTGCTGCCCTTGGCAGACCTATCAAATCCACTGGGAAGCGAACGTGCTCAAGGACAGTCACAGGCTTCCTCATCTTAAAGCTGCGAAGCCTGCGACACGATCCAACAAAAGAACACGTAAACATCAACCAAACAAACATGGGAGACGACCAAATAATCATTTGTTGTTTCGGATCCCAGGCTGGGGAAGCGCCCGCCGGCCCTGGCATTCCCCCGCCAGGGCTCCCGAAATCCTGTGACTTGTGTTTTGCTGCTAGGTCGGCTTTGTTTGTGTAGTTGTTAATTATATTATTTGATCTGAGTTGTGTTTGCAAGGTCACAGGCTTGGTAGCTCTAAGATGAGGACACCTGTGACTGTCATGGAAAAACAAATAAAATCCAATGGACACAACTAATGCATGTGACAAATATCGTCGCGCCAAGGAAAGGATATTATATTGATTTCTGTTTGTTTTCCATTTTTTGTTCAAATGAGTTTGTTTATGATTGTTTCCAATTGTATACATTACGTACGGTTTCCAAGTCAACTGTTGTATTAGAACAGTGTGCGGATGTGTGTGGACCCTCATGTGGTTTTCAATTGCATGAGTTTCTGAATGTCTCCCCTGGCAAGGAATTCGAATTGCCTTCCTACATGTGAGCTCGTATGGGTTCCGTATTGCTTTTGGCACGGAGTGGGCGTGTGCTCAGGTCATCAGTCCAGTCCTCAGTCCTGAGGGGCCCCGACCCCAGATTGCGTGGGGCTTGCCGCGGTTCCCCTGAGCTCCCCCCGCAACTTGTCGCATGATTTGTTCCAGCCCATGAGGGCCCCAACACGGGCCAAGCGGGCCCCACGAGGCCCCTAAGACGGTCCTAGGAGGGCCCCGAGTCGCCGAAAAATCGCTCCAAGACGCCCAAGATGGCGCCAAGACGGCACAAAAGGCCTCCAAGACGCCCCCACAGGCTTCCAAGAGGCCCCCCGAGAAGGGCCCCAAGAGGCAAAAATCATGTATTTCAGGTTTGGGAAGGATTTCGGCGTTCTCGCCTTTTCAGCTTTCCTACGCTCCAAAACGGCCCACGTGGCCCCAAAACTATCCCAAAACGGCCCAAGAGGCCTCCAAGAGGGCCCCAAGACGGCCTAAAAGCGCCCCCAGACGACCCAAGAGGCGCCCAAGACGGCCCAAGAGGCGCCCAAGACGGCTCCAAAGGGGCCCAAGATGAGGAGCACGGACCGAAAATCCGAGCCTGCCGACTGGCACATATACACACAGATGTATGTATGTATGTGTGTGCCTGTGCAGCGCAGTCCCTTCACAGATTTCATTTATCAGCCAATCTGTCTGCCGCACAGCCGGGCGCATCAATTTCGTATGGCTGCCGCTCAGGACGCATGCTTTGGCATTATGGCCGCGCTGGGCGCACTTTTTGTATCATGATCTCGCAGGGACCTCGTTCGAGGGTAGTTAGAGCCTCGAAGAACCATCGGAATAATCATCGGGACAACCATCGGGGCAACCAGCGGGACAACCATCGGGACAATGACCGGTTCGGCAATCGGCACAACACTCGGGACAACCACCGGCACAACCATTGGGACAACCATCAGGACAACACTCGGCACAACCATCGGGACAATCATCGAGACAACCATAAGGACCCCATCGGCACAACCAGCGGGACAACCATCGGCATAACAATGTGGACAACCATCGGGACAACCGTCGGCACAACTCTCGGAACAACCATCGAGACAACCATTGGGATAACCAACGGAACAAACATCACGACCACCTTCGGGACAAGCATCGGGACAACTATCGGGACAACCACCGGCACAACTATTGGGACAACCGTCGGGACAACCATCGGCACAACCATCGGGACAACCATCGAGACAACCATCGGGACAACCATCGGCACAATCGTCGGGACAACCACGGGCACAACCATTAAGACAAACATCGGTACAATCGTCGGCACCACTATCAACTCAACCATCGAGACAACCATTGGCATAACCATCTGAACAAACATAACGACCACCTTCGGCACAAGCATCAGGACAACTATCGGGACAACCACCAGCACAACCATCGGAACAATCATCAGGACAACCCTCGGGAAAACCATCGGGACAACCATCGGGACAACCACCATCGGTTCGACAATCGGGACAACCATCGGCATGTCCATTGGGACAACCATCGGGACAACCATCAGCACCATTATCGGGACAATCATCGAGACAACCATCGGGACACCCATGGGCACAACCATCGGGACAACCATCGGCACAACCATTAAAGCAAACATCGGGATAACCATCGGCACCGCTATCGGAACAACCGTCGAGACAACCATTGGGACAATCATCGGAACAAGCATCGTGACCGCTTCGCCTCGACTCGCCCGCACGCACGGCGCGCACATAACGAAACGAATTCCCGGAATGAAGCACCTCACGCTTCACTTCGCTCTCAGCCCCCCAAAAGCCTCGATTGGCGTACGCTCGCACTGGACGGCAAGTGCGCAGGCAGCTGCAGCAAGGGTGAGAAGCGGCGGCCTCACTCACACAGTGGTCAAGGGCCTGCAGTGCGAGCCCATGCGCGCACACAACGAAGAGATCGGTCACGTGCAGGCGATGCTCACATCCAGGATGCAGCAAAAGCATCCACCATGCCAGTACGAGGCGATCACACCATCGAACGCAGGCGCACAA